GGGGCCGGGATGCTGGTCCGTGTGCGGAGAGGGGCCCTGCACCCCCCCCACCCCCTCAGTCATCTCCCTTCCTCTTCTTCATTTTCTTTCTTACGGGCTCAGAAAATGCCCTTCCTCCTCCTCCTCCTCCTGCTGCCGCTGCCGGGCTGTGAGCAGCAATCTAATGAGCAGCCATCTAATGAGGGGCGGCCGCCGGGTTATGTAACTCCCCACGCCGCCCGCAGCCGGGGCCCGGGAGCGCTGTCCCCTCCAAATAATAATAAAAACAATAATAATTTAAAATAAAAGGGTGAGATGATCAAGCTTGATTTGTTTGACCAGCTGCTCGTACCGCGGATCAGTTTTGGGGCTCTGGAAAATTTATAGCGTCTGCCCGGTGTGCCTTGAAAGGATCGTTTCATTCCTAAAGGACATGGAGGAAGGGAAACAAAACAGATGGATTAATAAATAATTTTTAAATGATCCTGTTAACCACCCAATCAGCTTTTCTGTACTGATTGTGTCCCTTTTGTAAATATCTTCTGTTTGCCCTTGATCTTTTCCTTATCCCCACCCAGTGCTGATCCAGCAAACGTTTAAAGGTCGCCTTATCGTACAGGCTTTCAAACTATTCCCATACCATGTTGGGGAGAACACGAGTGGCTTGGAAATAGGGTTCCAGACTTTAAAAGGAGATTGTTTGGAGCAAGAAATAAAAAAGCATTGTATTCACATTGTTAAAGGATTTTGATACCGACTTTGATTTCTCTAATCTTCAGTGACAGCTACACTAAATTTTGCTCCTAGTGATGCGGTGCAGAAAAGCACACTGTTAATTGAAATTCTCGTTGGGCATTTAACTTGAGCCAAAAAATACATATTTTGTTTCATTGGGAACTTTTTGAACAAAGGTGTCTCCTGTGATTGAGTACCTTTATATTAAGGTAGCGTAGGATTTTCATTAGCAGTGTGTGTGCTAATCTTGATTCTTGTCCCTTCTTTAACTTTAGATAGCTAATTTCTCTTTTGTCCTTTGTGAAGGAGTGGCAACCATATTTTATATTAAATATAAAATGGAGTCATGGAGAAGGAGAAAAGCAATCATTTTTTAGGCTATCAGAAGCCCTGTTAGCTGCAGTAACTTTCTGAAATCTGAACTGTAGACAACCCGATATATGAATTTAGTATCTGTTAATATATTACATCTGATAATATAGAACAATTTGTAGAAAGGAAAAATGTGTGGATTAATTTATTGTAATAATTTCACAGTCATTGCCACCCTTATGACAGAAGATAGATATATGCATCTATTTTGTGTGCACTGGCTGCATTATCATTTTAGTTATTCTGAGGAAGAATTGTATATATACAGCGGACATTTTCTCTTCAGTTAGCATAATTTTGCCAGCGCACAGTTTATGTGGATGATTCGCTTGGACTTAAAATAAATGTTGCATAATTTTAGTTATTTGTGTGAAATCTTCTACAGCAACATTTTTATAATGTTAATGTTAACATTTTTATAATTCTGTAGCTTATGGTGCAACCAATATGTTTGCAAACTTTAAAATGATAAATGACCCTTGGACTAAGACCTTTCAAGCTAAACTAGTAGTCTGGTGCTAAATTTTGCAGCTGGGTACTATAAATCATCCAAATATGGGTTGGTAATTGAACCCTCGACAGGCCTGGCAGTTCTGTGATGTCTTAAAAATTATCCTTGCTGCTTTGTGAATAACTAAATGGCAAGCTCATGTGATTTCGAAATGCCCCATGCTGTATATGTAAACACATGCCTAGTGCATCTTCTGCAGTATTGTTTGTAAGTCATTCTGAATGTAATTGACATCCTCACCTTCCGTGGGTGAATATAAATAGTTTGATGCACGTTTTTTTATTTAAAAAGTAACCTATTTCATGGAGAAAGTGAAGCTGAAAGAATAGGCCTTGGAGCTTGATCTTACACTTTCCTTATTTGGATGTGTTTGCTTTGTTTTTTCTTAAAGGAACAAGAGCACTCAAGGTGAAGGATAATAATCGACTAGAATCAGCACTTTGAATGAAATTTTGTTTCCCTGTGGCATCTTGAACACTTTCTTCGGGTTTTGAAACAGACTTAAAACTTTGTGGCATAGCAGCTATGCAGCTTGAAATCCAAGTAGCACTCAATTTTATTATTTCATATTTGTACAATAAGCTTCCCAGACGACGTGTCAACATTTTTGGTGAAGAGCTTGAAAGACTTCTTAAGAAGAAGTATGAAGGGCACTGGTATCCAGAAAAGCCATACAAAGGATCAGGGTTTAGATGTATACATATAGGGGAGAAAGTGGACCCTGTCATAGAACAAGCATCCAAAGAGAGTGGTTTGGACATTGATGATGTTCGTGGCAACTTGCCTCAGGATCTTAGTGTTTGGATTGACCCATTTGAGGTTTCATACCAAATCGGTGAAAAGGGACCAGTGAAAGTGCTTTATGTGGATGATAATGAAAATGGATGTGAGTTGGATAAGGAAATCAAGAACAGCTTTAACCCAGAGGCCCAGGTGTTCATGCCAATTAGTGACCCAGCATCTTCAGTGTCTAGTTCTCCTTCTCCTCCCTTTGGTCACTCTGCTGCTGTGAGCCCAACTTTCATGCCCCGCTCCACTCAGCCTTTAACCTTCACCACTGCCACATTTGCTGCCACCAAGTTTGGCTCGACCAAAATGAAGAATAGCGGCCGTAGCAACAAGGTCGCCCGCACCTCTCCCACCAACCTTGGCTTGAATGTCAATGACCTGTTGAAGCAGAAAGCCCTTTCCTCCTCCATGCACTCTCTCTACGGGCTTGGCTTAGGCAGTCAGCAGCAGCAGCAACAACAGCAGAAGACTTCTGCCCTTTCTCCTAACGCAAAGGAGTTCATTTTCCCCAACATGCAGGGTCAAGGTAGTACCAGTAGCATCTTTCCTGGTGACAGCCCCCTTAACCTCAGTCCTCTCCAGTACAGTAATGCCTTTGATATGTTTGCAGCCTATGGAGGTCTAAATGAAAAGTCTTTTGTGGATGGCTTGAATTTTAGTTTAAACAACATGCAGTATTCTAACCAGCAATTCCAGCCAGTTATGGCTAACTAAAAATAAAAGGAAAGTGAAATACAAGTAAATACTATTGTACAAGTTAAAATGCACGTACCCAAGGGTGTATCTTTTTTTCCACCTCTTGAGATTTTTTTTAAGGCTTGTAGTATGAATACATTCAGGCTTGGTTAGATAAATACAACATGCATCATTTTTTCATTTGCCAACCAAGCACAAAATTATTTTATACTGACTGTACATTACAAAAATATACTCTCAAAATATGGCCTCTTACAGTATTTAAGATATAGCAAGGATGTGGCTAATTTTTTTCATGTGTGTATACATATATGTCCACAAACACATATGTGTATATATATTAAAAAATTGGCACTAATAGGTGGGTTTATTGGTCTTTTTCTAATTGTATAATTTAATTTAGTACAAAGTTTGTAAAATATCAGAGTATATATATTGTTTCTACAACATGGTATTGCATTTATATCTTTTTACTACAGTGATCTGTGACAGCTGCAGCAGCTTCATGTTGTATTTTTTTTACTGAAATTGTAAGATATCCATCTTAAAGACATCAATTCTAAAAAAAAAAAAATAAAAAGTTGTGTACAGAATATTCCTTAGTGGTGGAATTAAAATGTACGAAATATTTGCTTTTTTCAAAAGAAACACAAATTGTATTTTCTGTTAAAAGTTTAAAGATTTTTGCTATATATTATGGAAGAAAATGTAATCGTAAATATTAATTTTGTACCTACATTGTGCAATACTTGAAAAAAGGTATAAAAGTATTTTGAGTCAGTGTCTTACATGTTAAGAGGGACTGAAATAGTTTATATTAAGTTTGTATTAAAATTCTTCAAAATTAATTGACTGTTGTGGTCTGTGTTTTTACTGTTCTGCTGAAGATCAGAGCGCGGCGTTTATTGTGTTGTCAGTGCTAATGATGCAAAAAAGTCTGACTCAGTGCATCACAAAGGAGCGATGGAGAGGGTTGCTCTATTGATGCACCACAATAATGAGTTGCTTTACCTAAAATACTACTGACAAAGCACATAGCCTGATTAAGTACTTGCCTACAATTATTTGAGCAAACTTTCACTTGTTTTCTGTAACTGCAGCTCACTGAAGCCAGAAGGAAGTTTTATTTTTTTTCCCTTGAGCGTTAAGACTATAAGCTGTGCGAATGTTGAGGTTTTGTGTGACACGACGCATCTAGAAGGGACTTGGGTGATTCAATGAAATTCCCTTTTCCTGTCATCAGAATGGATTTGAACTGTGATCTGGAGAGGTCCTAGCCCAGCGCATCAGCGGTCTGCTTCTGTATTGGGGATTAATAGCTCAGAAACTAGACTGAATAAAAGTGCTGATTTACACTTTACTAAACTCATTGTAAACTTTTATTTTATATGCTCTATTAAAAAGATAAATGTAATGCAACAACAATGTGACATGCTAAGGTTTTTATTTAGTGGATTTTACCGATATTGACTTAATAGGTTCTCAAAATGTGAATGTGAGTAGGAGGAGAAAGAACTTGGAGGCTGACAAAACAACTCAGCTTTTCCAGGGCTATTTTGAAGTTAACATCCCGGACTCTTTTCCGTCTGTTCAGCAAATAGTGTTCCTACCTAATGGACATCGTCAAGGGAAAGAGAAACTTACCTTAATCTGTAAATCTAACAAGCATCAACTTATTTTTCATGGCAGTTCCAGTTGCACAAAGAGCAGGTGCATGCTGAGCAGATTGTCCTTTGGCTTGTGATGATGAATTGTAATCTGCAGGAGTAGTACAGGATTAAAATTATCTGAACTTTAGTGTTCTGAAACTGGATTTTGAGGCTGAAGATCAGTCTCTTCCTATTTGATGCGCTTGATTTTACAAAAAGTGTAAATTCCAGGCACGGTTACACCCCTGGTTTGGTGCAAGCAGTGTTTTGGTGGAAATAACTAAGTGCTGCGAGGAAGAGGGTGGTTTTCAACACCAGTGTGAGATCTTTGCTTTGGACAGAGTCAGGCTGTGAAGAAACGGACAGGGTGGAGATGCGGGGCTGACAGTGCTATCAATTTCTAATGCCATGACAACCAATTCAAAAGCAGTAATGGAGCGAATGTTTTTTTAGGCATCTCGGTCTGTATTTAACTGGCTCCTTTTTATCGAGTTTGCCATCTGGATTATCTTTCCACTAAGGGCACATCAGTGGACAGAACTATCCTCAAAAGTGCATCGTTTGGTATCTAAGTGGATGTTTTTGCTTTAAAAAAGAATTAGAAAAAAATATTGACTCTATTACTGAAAAGTGGAGAGTGTGAGCTCGGTGTATTATTTCTATGTCTGCCTAGACTTTAAGACTTACTACAGTTTTAGTATTCACAGTATCGTAGTAGTACCTACACTGCCTGGGAGGTTGAGCGACTCGGACAGTGGAGACTATTTTACGTGTTCTGTAATTCTGCTGTTCCTGTGATTTAAAGTGAAATCATTTGTCTTAAAGGTCATTGAGCTCATCCTCTTCCCGTGCTGATTTTTTCGCTTCCACTGCAGCCGGCTCCGCGTACGAAGGGCAGTGGTTTGCAGCAAGGAAGAATCTCTGGAAATCGAGGTTGTTTTTTGCACCGCCTTTTAATATAAAGATTTTAATAAGCAGGGCTTTGTCCTCTGTAGGCTGTTTATGGTGCTGTAGAGAGAGCTTCCAGTTTTCTCAAAGAATGCAAATACAAAGATTTTTAATGTTTTCTCTTACTCCTTATAGAAATTAAAGACGTGGGCTTTCTGTTCGGTCCGCTTCACCCATTCATTTCTCTTTTGCTGAAGTTTGGTGCTGAATTTGTTAGATCAAACATTTACATTGCAACGTGCTGTTCCAAACGAGTGCCAGGTTTAATCCGCGCCCAGGCAGCGTCCAGCCCTGGGCCGTGCGGTCGGGTAAGTGCCTTCGCTTTGGGAGCAGGGACCTAACGGGGGGTGAAGGGGGGAAAGGAAGCATTTGCTCAGTTGTGCAAGTTCTTTTGTATTTTCTCATGTGAACATGCAATTTACTTCCTTAAAATTGCCAGTGTAAGTTAAACCTCGGAAGATGTCTTTAATTTACAGTGAAGAAAAGGGTAAAGCCTTAAGTGTGTGTCCCCCTCAAGGCTGCTTAGTGCGTCCTGTCTCTTCACTCCCGGTCCCCTCCCGAGCACGAGTTCGAAGCACTTTCAGCTGTATGTTTCAACTCAATTCAGCACAAGCCGATAACGTTTGAGAATGGTAATCTGAGACCTGTGAAAGTGAGTTCAGGGGCGTCGTGGCGTAGAGGGGGTTCGACGGTCTCTGCTGCGTGTGTTCTGTAGGTAGACGCCAGACCTTTGTCTTGATCGGAAGTCCAGTAGCGATCACCGAAATTAAATTGATCTGATTATTTTTGCAAAGGAGAGCCTGCTCACAGGTGGAGCTGACAATAACGTAGTGCTTCATCACGGCGTCCTCCTCTCAAAGGCTCCTGCTGCGGATGGGAATCCGGAGGGCACGGGCTGGTGGGGTGCTGCCCTCTTGGTGAGTACAAGTTTTGTAGTTCTTTTAACTTCAACTAAGCTATCGTAATTTGTACAAATCAAGAACTGGGTGTAAACCACAGAAAGATCCATCCCTCCTTCACCATGCAAAATTAGAACGCTATTAAACATTCCTTGTGCCACCTCTTGCTCCAGAGAGCCGTGGCAGATGATTCCCCAGCAGCAGCGCGGCCGCCTGCCCCGCACTCTGCACCCTGTCTCCTGCCACGTTCCAACCTGCAAAAGCCCTTTGGTAGCAAACAGCCCAGTTGCGTTTCTGAAATACCAAGTCACCAAACAACTAATTGTTAAATCAGCTTTTTGGACTGGCATGGGATCAAGCCAGAGTTCATTTACTGATCTGACGCCCCAGACTGTTCTATTAACGTTTCAGGAATAAATACCTCGGAGTTTGTGTTGGTAGTTTTGGAGCAGATGAAGCAAACCGGTGGTTCAGCACTCTTTTTTATATCATCAGCAAGTTGATTTAAATTGAGTGTACAGTGTTGGCTGCATTCCTCTCATGAGCTGCATAAAAAGTTTGCTAAATCTAAGTGCCAGTGCTGTAAAATCCCGCTGAAGGGATTGTTTCCAAAGATCAGCGAGAGGAACGGTTAACCTGTTACTGTGGCAGTGCGCGGATGACTTTTGTCCTCTTGGCTTTATTTTAGTGACGGTAGTAAGGAGTTTTGCCTTACAGAAGGGAAAAAGCATTAAGACTCGGGAACATAAACCACATTCCCTTCGGCACTACGCGTTCTCTACCTCATAGACAAAATATGATCAGTGTGCGGAACGAATAGCAGGTGTAAAATATTTTTAGAAAAACCTTGGCGTACAGTGCGGACATCCCTCAACCCCCATCCTTTATTCTGTCAGCTTTTGTTTGTTAAAAGCAAGCTGGAGTATTGATGGCTGCAGTTTGGGTGGGACTTGCTGTAGTTTTCATTTGGTAATTCGGCGCGTCGGAGGCCCGAAATCAGAGATCCTCTCCTCTGAGAGCTGAGGCACCATTACATTTAAACAGTCTGTCAGCTCCGTGCCCTTGTGGAGCTCGTTGGGCTGCATTCCCTTTTCCCCTTTGCTTCAAGACTACCCAGAGCATAAACCAAAAGGGAACACTGGGAATGCAGTGCCTTAATTATTGTTTAGTGCCCCTGCGCGCTTCTTTGAGAAGGTTATACCAACAGGACAGGCTAATGCAATGAAAAACAGACCTGGAAACCAACCTTTTTTCTCCTTGGCAGAAGATACTCGTTCCCTGCTGCACCCATAACCCCCTCCTTCATCTTTTCCGCCTCTCCCACAGCATCCTCAGAAGGACCAGCTCATGCGTTGCTCCCCTTGTTCGCTGCCTCTCGCTGCTTGCTCTGCTGCACCGCCCTTCGTGCCGCTCTTCTTTTCACCCAGACTCCGCTTCTCTCTGACCTCATCTCTTAAATCGCTCCATGCCGGGAACTGCTGTGCCGAGGGAGACCTCAGCATGCGAGGCTCCAGCCGCCGAGAGGTACCCTCTCTCTCCGCCCTGCGTAGGCTAGGTCTCGCTTGACTTCACTTTGTCTCCAAAGACACAGTGTAAAGAACTACTGAATGTCAGAGTACAGTTAAGGATTATATTGGATGCTCAGAGTCTCGCAAATTTGCTGCTTGGGCAGCCTCATCCAGTACTGCAACAGCCCGGGAGTTGTTAGTCACGCTGATGGAAATGGGAGGTGGCAGGTTAGTGAAGGACATAGTATGATAGATGACAACTCAGGCACCCCACGTTCCAGACCTGACTCTGGGCAAGTCGCTGCCTTTTCTGTGTTTGTTTCCTCCTCTGTCTCCATTGAAATTCAGTGTTAGCGAGTGTCAGACAGTAGCTGGATAGTGCTGTCTTTTTGCTGTCAATATGGAACTTCATCCAGTTTCCGTACGCCACAGGAACATCTTCTGAGGTTGACCTACAATTCCCTCCTTTCATTGCCTTTAGTTTCTGTGGCCTTTGAGAGTCTTCTCTGTTGTACAGTTCACTTAACGTGTATTAGATGACCTTTGCCTTTTGAAACAAGGCATGCATATAAAAGTGAAGCACTTGATTCTCATTGTCCATGGCATATAGAGCCTGATTCATCCACCGCCGGAGCAGAAGGCCTCCGGAGCAGTGAGATCTCACATACTGACTATTGTGATTCTGTAAAAGAATTTCTGTGGGTGTTTCTATAGATATGGAAGTATATATTCCTCCAGTACAAATCATGTGAAAATTTTACACCAGCCCACTCACTGAAGTTGCCGCTGGTCAAAATTAGACTTGCATACAGATTTTACAAACTAAAACAAATTCCCCTTTGAT